ACATGGTAAAAATAACTCTAATGTACACTATATTTAATATTAATATAGAGTTCATATATTATTCACTTAATAGAGTAGTTTTTACAGTTCTCTAAAGGAGAGTTCTTTTTTACTTATGTTAGTGAAGTTATGTAATATATAAAACATTAAATTTTACACTAGACGTGTACTTTTCCTTCGGGTACTTCGTAGGCACCGCACTATTTTGCTCGGGATTACTCGTCGGTACCACGTGATCAACATGTGGTGTGATACAGCTAAAATTTAACGGTCATCTACTGAACGAGTCGGAACTCGACAGCGTCTCGAGACCTGATTTACGCGATATAAAAAGAAAGAACGATTATTTTTATTTTAATTATGTTTGCCAAACATTCGTGTTGTGAAATTAGTGGAACTTCCGGAAGATTTTACGTACGAGTTCCTTGCGAAGATTGGTAAGTATGTACAACTATACATACAGAAAACTTATAGAAGACTCATTAGATGCAGTTTTCATGGTGACTCGGTGGAAACTTTAAAATGGATTAAGTATGGTTATATAAAAAGAATTTAATTTTTTTTAAATTTAAGATATAACAATATATTACAAGTAAAAATAAAAAGAAATATATTTATAATTTTAATTTTTATTACAAACCTAAAACCTTCCTAAAAATATTCTATACTTCCTATTAAAAATTAACAGTAATAAGTGAAAGATACACACTATTTAGTGATATTTTGTCACTTAATAGAGTAAAATTAGAGCGAATTTTTAATAATTTACACTGATTAGATTAGAAATGTATCTAATTAGAGTCACGACAACATCTAGTTAGATTACATATAATACACTGTTATAGAGTAACGATTTTACACTATTTAATAAACACCATGTTTCACTATTTAGTGTAAAATTTTAATCTATTCACCTACACTATATAGTGCAAAAAAATAACTCTAAATATATTGGACCGATCTGAACCATGTTTTAGAGTTGATTTTTACTCTATATTTTTTCCTGTGTATAATTCCAAATGATTCTGCACATCCCTATTCCCACAAAACTGCAAGTTTTCGTTATTTAATTAACAGAGCTTTAAATTATCCACTTTCCAATGAAAAGCGACTTAAAGAGCTTAATTTCATTTATAATTTGGCTGAAAAAATAAATACCCAAGCAACATAATTGACAAACTTCTAAAGAAAATTACGTTAACTAAAGATCTATTATACACAAAATCTATTACAAAGAATGCTTACAAACCAGTTCCTTATAACGATATATCTATACAAGCTCAAAAGATTTTCTCAAAATACGAAATAACAATGGCCTATAGCAATAAAAATACAATACACAACTTACTATCCAACCATCGCTTAAATAATAATAATAAAAAAAATTCTCCAGGAAAGTGGTGTTTATAAATTTGTATGTGAAGAATGTAATAGTATACAGGGTGATTCATAAGTAATGGGCCAAATTGTAAATGTACGTTCAGGAGGCCAAAATAATAATATTTTCATTAACAATAATGGGTCTTAGTCTGCTCCTTACTGAGATACAGGATGTTAAAGCGAAAAAAATAAAATAGATTTTTGTTAATAGATCAGCTACTTTTCTACATAATGACTCATAGTTGACTTATAGTTTTTGTAAGGGTAAACAATAATGTGTGAGAGGATTTGAGTTAACTCGTAGATGTCGCCACATGCGCCATATGAATTAGATGAAATCAGCTACAAATTTTTTATCGCTCATTATTTTACAACATACTTGTTTAATTTGGATAGCCCCATCATTTCTGTAGAAAAAAGCTATACTTCTTTGATCTTGAAAATATTAACGATTTTCGAGATATTTGAATTTTACTAATTCACTACACTACATTTCACGGTGGTCGACGTAGCATTAATCTGTTAAGACACAAGCATGGCATGGAATGTTGACATTTACCTAACCGTAATTGATAATTGATAACAATATTAAACTGAAACCATAAAAAAATTACGTAATAAAACAATTTATTGTACGCCAGTTAATAAAACGAAATACAACATTAGAACAGACTTGAACTAAGACCACTTACGACAACTGTTATCAAAACCTACATGTTAATGTTGTGCGAAGTTAAATTAAATTTAAGCTTAATTATGAGCTACTGCAAAAGGTTTTCAACATGACCACCACCAGCATTTATACACGCATTTAACCGTTTGGTTAAGGATTGTCTGACTTTAAAAAATGTAGCAGGATTATTTCGTATTGAATTGGCTGCATCTTGAATTCTATTCCATAACTCGTCTCGTGTATTTATAGTAGGTTCAGCATAGACCATTGATTTCATGTAACCCCACACATAAAAATCAAGTGGATTAAAATCGGGACTGCGAGGTGGCCACTGAAATTCACTACCACGTCCAATCCAACGGTGAGGGAATGTTTCATTCAGATGTTCGCGCACAGCACGTGAAAAATGTGGAGGAGCACCGTCTTGCATGAACCACATATTTCTTCTTAGTTGTAATGGAAGATCTCCCAAGAGGTCGACTAAGTCATTATTTAAAAAAATTAAATATGACTCTCCATTTAAATTAGGAGGTAATTCAACTGGGCCCAGTAATGTATTGCCTATTACACCGCACCACACATTTATTTTAAACTCGTGCTGGAAATGTCTATCTTTTTTTAAACGAGGGTTTTCGGTTTCCCAGGCATGACTATTTCGCCAATTAAAAACTCCGCGTCTGGTAAAGGTTGCTTCATCCGTGAAAAGAATGTTATTTAGGAATGTTGGATTATTATTCAATTTTCCTTTTAGCCACTGACAAAATTGAACTCTGATTCGATAATCTGTTGGAAGTAAATTTTGCACAGGTATAAAATGATAGGGATATAAATTTTCCTTGTGTAAAATTCTAGTCACGGATGGTTGGCTTATTCCAGTTGCTGCAGACAATCGACGAGTGCTTATTTCAGAATTTTGCGCAATTCTTACCAAAATTTCATCTTCTTGCTGCGGAGTGATAATCTTAGGACGTCCTGTATGATATTTTGGACGAAATGAACCTGTTTCACCCAATCGATTATAAATATTTTGAAATATCTTCCGGTTTGGCTGCCTTCTGTAAGGGTACATTTCACGATATTTTCTGGATGCTGCTTGCCCAGAAAAACGTTCTTGTGCGTAAACGCATAACATGTCTCTCATTTCTTCGTTTGAAAAGTGATTATGTCTCGGCATTTTGATTTATGTTAGGACAAGAATGAATCAGTTTACTTAACAATAAAATGTTTTAAACTATTCATTAAACGTAAAAGCTCATTGACGTTTCATAATTCATATGGCGCATGTGGCGACATCTACGAGTTAACTCAAATCCTCTCACACATTATTGTTTACCCTTACAAAAACTATAAGTCAACTATGAGTCATTATGTAGAAAAGTAGCTGATCTATTAACAAAAATCTATTTTATTTTTTTCGCTTTAACATCCTGTATCTCAGTAAGGAGCAGACTAAGACCCATTATTGTTAATGAAAATATTATTATTTTGGCCTCCTGAACGTACATTTACAATTTGGCCCATTACTTATGAATCACCCTGTATATATCGGACAAACTGGACGCAGACGGAGAGAACACAAAACAAAAACAAATTCAAACGTTCACAAACATATACAGGATATATAATTGACTTCGATAAAACAAAACTATTACATAAATGTGAGAAGGGATTTAAAATGGATTTATTAGAATTATTAGAAATTGATATCCACAAAAAATGTAAAAACAATAACCTTCTTAATGATCAAATTGACATATTATATACTCCGTTATACTCCTTCTTAAAAAATAAGAAATAACTAATAACTATTTCTTATTGCATTTATTTTAAATACAAATTATTAAATAAGTTCTTAAGTAATTTTTGTATATACATACAACACACACGTCTTTATACAATAAGTAACCGGTTCGTTCAGATAATGTATTTCTTTGTTAAAGTCTTCCATTTTATAAGAAGTTCTCGTCCCGACGTTTTGTTCTTGTTTCTGTTTTCATTTTATTTCGTGACAGTCTTAATTTTTAACATTTTAATAATATTTTAATATGTTTCAACACATGTGTTGTATCTACATTTTCTAAATTTTAACAACTCTTTTTCTGACGTAAGTTTTTTTAGATAAGAAAAAATTTTAATGTGATTCTTCTATTTTATAATTTCCATTTATACTGGATTTGGCTGATGATGACTAGGTGTAGTCGAAACCGGTACCATTAATAATAAATAATTCACAAGCAAGTAAGAAGTTTTTTATTAAATTAAACATTTTCCTTTACATATATAAGGTTATCTTCGACCTCTCTGAATCNTTATTATATAGGGTCATGTAGCATCACGTATCTCTAAAACGTGAACTAATATTGCAAAAATAAAATTATTTTCGGAATCAGCGCACCAAAAATAGTAAAGTTTTGTTGATTTTATTTTAGATACTTTTTGGCTGTTGTTGTATAGAAATTATAATTTCTATACAACAATTTTAATAGTGATATAAAATATAGTGTTAAAAACACAAAACAATTAATTAATTCTCTTCAAGACATTCAAATTAATAATAACTCCATTCTTATCTCTTTCGATATTAAAACTTATATTCTAATATTCCTATAAAATATTCATTAAAAATAATCGAAGCCCACCTCTGTGATAACATGTACAAATATGACAATGTTCAATACCACGACATCTATAACTTCATTTCCTTGTTAGAGTTGGTATGCAATCAGAATTTTTTCATTTTTGATAACAAATTTTATCAAATGAAGGATGGCCTCCCATGGGTTCACCCATTTCTGGAATAATTGCAGATATATTTGTTAACCACTTCGAGGGGATTCTGTTCTTGGAGAAGTACACATTTTTTACTAAAAACATTATTTTGTACAAAAGATACGTTGATGATATCCTTCCGATATGCAACGGTAAAAAATTCCACATTGTAGCTCTTAATAACATTTTTAACAATATTAATAACCTTCAATTTACTTACGAAGTAGAAAAATGTTCATTTATCTACTTCCTTGACCTTACTATAATAAGTTGCGTCTCCGAGAACAGAATCCTATTCGACATCTATAGAAAACCAACTACGACCTAAAAACTCATTTTCACCATATCAAGAAATACGCATCTTTTCTTTTATGATAGAATTTTAAATTACCCACTTACACATGCTAACTTTAACAAGGAAACTAATACCATCATCAGGTTGGGCTTTGATAATGGGTACACGGTAAAAAATAATCCCGGTTTAAAATTTTAGAGTACAGATTAAAAATATAGAGTGTTTTTTTAGAGTAAATTTTATTCTATTATTTACTCTACGATAAACTCTATTAGAGATAATTTTTTCAATATACTCTAATAGATTAAAGTTTCCTGTTTTTAGTTGCACAAGGAACAAACAAAGCTTGCATACACCAATTTTCTCTACTTATTGATACCAAAATCATAACTTTACCCAACGATTGCACAGCTGCTAAAGCTCTAGAATATTTGTTTATGGCGCACTTCGTATTTAATGTCGAATACGCAAAACCTGTAAGCACTTTTTGGCGCTTTATACAATGGCGTTATTTTAAAATTGATTTAGATTGAGTTAAGTTCACGTTTAAATTTTACAAATTTTAAATAGTTTTGTTTTTGAATATGGAACATTATGTTTTCGTGTTTTATATGTAAGATTAAGTTAAAAACATCTAAAGATGTAATTAATCATTTAAGGATTAATCTCTTTTGGACAATTCAAAGTTGTTCCTGAAATGTGGTATAGCCCATTGTCTTTTTACATTTGCAACATTTTCTGGCTACAGAAAAATCTTAAGAAACATGAAAACGCTGTTAAAAGTTTAAACACAGATATTGATTCGGAATCAAGCAAGATTGATACACATTTTAACAAAAATGTAGAAAATATAAAAGAATCGGAAAATAAAATAGGATTGTCCGCTATTTGTGATAATTTTTTTTGCATTTAATGAGTTTAAATATACCTAATAATCAAACACAAATAATAGTTAATTCAGTTCTAGATCTGATGGGAACCATATTTTCGTAATAATAAATTTTAAATACTTGGCCAAAACACTTGCAGAAAAAGTTCAGTTATTAACAGAATTTGAAAAAGAAACAAAAATGCAATTTGGACCATCAACAATTGTTACGTATGAAAATTTTATCTAACTCCCTTCAGGAGCTTTAAAATTTATTTTTCCGCATTCACCAAGCTAGAATTAATAATCTCATCTATCCTCATTGTTCCAACCCCGGCGTTTTTATCTCCATACCTTTTCACCCTTCAATCCAAAAACAATTTTCCGATATTTTCAATAAGTTTAATGTCACAGCGGTATACCGTGCGAATGCTAAATTGGGCCAATTATTAGCTAATAACAAACAGTCATTCGATAATAAACTAAAAAGTGGTATTTATAGACTTAACTGTAGTGATTGCAACTCTTTTTGCATAGGCAAAACTGAAACGAATATCAGTACTAGATTCAGAGAACATTTAAATAAAGAAAACTGAGGAGTACTACATAAAATCACATCACATTAACAGGTTGAGTGCCACAAGAGTCCAACGTGGTCTCGCATATACTTTTGATATTCTAGCCAGGTGAGACCAATGTGGTCTCGCATGTACCCATACTTGATTTGGCTGTGTAGTTCCGCAACGGTCTCTCACTGCAATATGAAATCAATGGAGTTCGAAATTGCGCGGCCTGGCGATCCAGAGACAAATTTTGGCCTGTGGAGATGAGAAACCAAAGCGGTGCTACGTGGCCAGGAAAGATAAAGTAACCCACATTTGTATTATTTTTTGTTTTTTACTTAGACATACATTTCATTAGGAATTTTACTTATTGACACATAATAAACATACAAGAAAAACAAAGAACATTTTATAAATGAAATAAATGGAAATTATTGAAGAACGCAACTAATTACAAAAAAAAAATAGTCAATTCACAACTAGGCAAATTATTTCTTCACCTCGTGACTTTCAAAAAAACATTCAAGGCAATAATGTTTGTCACAAGCCTCGCATTTCAACATACTTTGCGGAGTTTTTTTGAGTGCTACTTTTCTGCCCATTTCTTGACTATGTTGTGAGTAACAGACCACACAGCGCCTTCTTAGTTTTCTACCGAGGTTGACTAGCTTGTGGTCGTTTGTCGTAACCGTCTATTCATGTTCTTCAAGTTGCAGAAGACCAAATATTACTGATTCTCTGAATTTTGTTATAGACATGGGCTCATTGGCGATGTCTCTATAAGCGATGTAAGCATTGATGAAAGCAGTGCCAGTCAAAAGTTCAATGGCAAGTTTTTTATACCACTTCAATGTTTTACGTAGTGAGGAATTGTAACTTTTTTTTTGATCGGCGATATCAATGAAGGCTTTGAACTTGTTATATTCGATAACATTTTTTGGTTTGCAGACTTCACCTCGTCTTCTCTGCACGGTCACCATTTCATCGGTATATTTCGTGCTCAATGTCAGCACGTCTCTCTTATCCTTCCATTTTTGAACTACTATTCCTGAATTGCTTTCTTCAGCGATGGTTTCCCCAAGTTTGAGTTTTTTCGTTATAACATTCTTGGGATTGAATTTTCTGTTTGTTCGTAACGTTCCAATCAAATGAGTTTCACGGCGTAGTAGTTCGTGAGCAAGAGTTACTGAGGTGTAGTAGTTATCAGTGCAAAGAGTTCTCCCTTTATGAAGTAAATCTTTCATCAAGTTCAAAACAACGTTAGTTGGAACGCCACCTCCCTCTGTCTGCTCCTTACCGCAGTATATTTTGAAGTCGTAGGTGTAACCGCTCTCTAAGCACAACTTGAATACCTTTATGCCAAATTTGTGTCTTTTATTGGCAATGTATTGTTTGAACTTGAGCCGTCCCTGGAATGGCACCAATGTTTCGTCGATGCACACATATTCTCCTGGAACGTATATTCGTTGGAAGACTTCTTTGAGTTTCAGAACAAGTGGTGTAAGTTTCTGAAGCCTATCTTCGGTTACTTCAGAATTATCGCTGAAGTGTAGCATCTTAGATAGCAACTGAAAACGGTTTCGGGACATTACGCCTGTGATGAAGTTCTTATATATAGGGCTCTTGGACCAATAAGCTTGAAGCGTTGGGAACTGACAGAGCCCCATCCACAAAACAATACCCAGGAATTTTTTCATTTCAGGTACAGTTGTATCATGCCAAGAGGTTATCCGAGCCCGTCGAAGTTGATTCTTTGCAAGACATTGTGCTCCATACCTATTCGTTTCCACGACCTTTTCGAAAAATAACAATAAAGTAATAAGAAAAAACTGCAGCATACAATTACTTACCATCAACTCTAAGATGTCATCATTCACAAATAGGCTATAAAATTCACAAGGAGTCTTGTCATGGAAATTTTCATGAATTTGTGGATCAAATCCCATGGTATTTGCTTCAGAGAACATAATTTGACGCAAGTTGTTACCGGTTACAGGACCCCAAGTGATGTTTGTGTTTTGCGTAGCGGCATCAGTGGTTGACGGTAAAAGAGTTTCATCGGAATCCGAGTCAGAGTCTTGAGTCATATTTGCAATTACAATTTCAATAACGTCAGCAACATGTTGCGCCTCAGTTGAAACATTATTTGAAGTTTCCGTACCCGTTGCACTTGTCGACGGTTCGCTACCTGTAATTGGGTGTTTTTGACGTTTTTCTCCATTCTTCGGGGGATGTTTCTTGTGCTTTTTCTTACGTAATTTGGAAGATGTCCTCTTCGATGATGATTCAAAATCTACTGACGACTCACATTGATATTCATCAGAAAGATAGACGTCTCCAAACAGTGATTCTTCATCTTGACTGCTGTAGTGTTCATCTTCATCAGACAGCACCTCCTGCCATAACTTCGTCAATCTCTTTTGTTCTTCCTCGTACGAGTACATGGTGTAATTCTTGCTGCACTACGAAAAGAACTGAGACGATCGCAAGCTTACTACTCTTACCGGACCGTTCGTCAAGACATTTTGTCGGGCGTCCCGCGACAAGTTTCAACATGCAGGGATATGCGTAGCGTAGTGACACATTGGTCTCTCTCGGCCGTTTCAACAAAATGGTCAAAAATGAAATGCCGTTTTCGATATTCCAAAAACATTTGGCGCATCAAAATACATGTTTTCATCAATAAAACTTTTATATCTAACTTTTCAGACAAAAAAAAGTGCCGGTCCATAGGACCAAAATTTTTCAATACATGGTGGCACTCAACCTGTCAAAAACCCTGAACATATTTTAAATGAAATTACTGATTTTAACAATTATAATAGATATTTTACACCTTTCATATAAAATCAAACTTGCCGCTCTTGTATTTGGTTTGTTACATCTTGATACCAATTTTTCATTTTCTTAAGTTGCATTTTACTTACTTCCTTTGTTAACTGACCTCAGTTCGTTGTAATCAGTCGATATGTGCACACGACTCAATTTTTTCGGTAAATACTTAACGTTATAATACCTTTTCAGTAATATTAACACCTTCTTCTTTTAGATTTTTAACGCTAAATTCATTTTTGTAACACGCCTTCAGCCTTAACATTTAATTACGCCTGCCTTCAGCATTTCAAAAAAATTTTTAACCTATCACCCGACGGCGACGTTGGAGTTTTTAACCTGATATGGTAAACCCACGCCGTTTCCAAAAATTTTACTTAATCTTTAATCCGTAATTTTATCTTCAATCATCGGTTCGTCGTAGTTTTCGTAAGAGAAATTTTCCAGATGACCGTTTTTTCACGTGTACCTCATCCTTAGTTTTTGACGGTAAAATCTTTTATAATTTTATTTTTTATATCACCAACTTAAAAAAAAACCCGTCAGCTAGTAATAATTGTTTAAAAGTAATAAATTTTGTACTTTTACTGGTTAAAAACTATTTATTCATTAGAAGCTGACATGTTTCGATCTATTCGATCATCTTCAAAGCTCTACAAGAAGCCGTACAATTTCAAATTAGTATAAAAAAATTAAAAATTCTAAAAATAATCATCAAAAACATGTTGTTAAACAACAAAGAAAAATGAAAAAGTTATACAAATAAGTGTTGAAAAATATAAAATTTATAATTATTATTAATTACGCAGTCTGTTTATTAACTTAAAGTTAACATTTCAAAAAATTTTCTTTTTATACTATTTGTACAGAAAACACTTTAAAACTACGACGAATACAAGTTAAAAACTCTTGGCCAAATGGTTCAAGAAAGAAATAAAACAAGTTCTTAAAAAATAAAATTTTTCCACAACGGTGTTTTTTGAGAATAACATCATGGGGTGTTCCGAAAGAATGTCACACATGTCTGATCAGAAATGAAAAGCAAAAGACAACAAACGAAAAATAATTAAAAATTAAAACATTATTCATCCGTAGGAATCAAAAGAAAACAATTTTTAATTGAACTAAGGAAAGGATTGTCAAATGGGTAGGATTAACTAGAAAGGAGCTGGGAAACAATTATAAAGTGGTATTTTTGTGTAAAAGACTTGGTCAAGACTTGGTAAAAGACACTTTTCACACTAAAATAAAAAAGATTCTTAAAGAATCGAAGGAATTTTTAAATAATAACAACATAAACAATTTTAATCTCTTACCCATGAATCCTAAAACACCTTTGGTATACTCTTTGATTAAGCTGCACAAAGATAATTATCCCATTAGACCTATTATATCGTCTATTGACTCAAGCACATATAAATTATCAAAGTTTTTAATTCAATTTTTTAAACAACATATTAATTTTAAAGCAGACTATTCTATTAGTAACAGAACTGATTTAATCAACACATTACAAAACATAAATTTACCTAAAAACTTCACTTCATTATCTTTTGATGTTACAAACCAAGCTTACAAGAAGCCAACACAAATTGTTGTGTTGGCTTCTTGTAGAGCTTTGAAGATGATCGAATAGATCGAAACATGTCAGCTTCTAATGAATAAATAGTTTTTAACCAGTAAAAGTACAAAATTTATTACTTTCAAATTATTTAGTCACTGGTTACAATGGATCCAACAAATAATTTCTTTCAAAGTAATAATTGTCTTTGATATTATTCCAGTCGTACCTGATGACGCTGAACATTGTTGTGAAGCGAAACATTGTTGTACCGAAATTATAAAAATAAAAATATCATCGTGGATTTATTCTTTTTTATCCTATTACTAAATCCCAGTCTCAAAAAGAGGTTTTTAATGCTCAATGTATTAATAGCTCGAACTCAATATTGTCTTGATTCTTGCTCGTTGTATTCAATATGATTTATTTTAAACACACCTTTTTTTTTTAGTAACTTTGTTATTTTTTTTTATGAATTCGTATTTTCTATTCAAATCTACACAATTTTTACTGCAATTTTTACCCAATTCATTATTAAAAAATGTTATGAATTTCAACTCAATCATTTTTGTCGATTTTGTATACGTTTTGATTGGAATACCTTGCACGTTTCCATCTCTATTTTAGTAAAAATATTTGTGTTTTTTATTAGATTCTCTGTGCTTATTAGTATTACATTTCGTAACTGTTCAAATTAATTACATCAAAGATTCCGCAAAAATGTTTCTAAGTCGATTTTACACGCCATCAAATTTTAAAGAGCTTTTAGTGCCGCACACATCACACTACAATTCTCTGCATCGTACGCAATAAATAGAATATTAAATATCGATTCCCCGCTCGGTTCTCCCCCTTCTTGAAAATTTCAATATTGAACTGATGATGTAGACGAGAAACGGAGGAAGTAACAGTGTTTGATGGAAAAATTGACTTTTATTTCCTTTTTATATGGTAACTTTTTATTCTTTATTTTTATTATTTTTTATATTTGAATAAAATTTAATTTTATATCAAATTTTAAAAAGTTTTGGTGAGGTTTTAAGGAGAGAAACTCTAAAAAAGGGTTAATATAAAAGCAGGGACGTGTGCACTTAGCACGGTTCGCCGGTGCGACATGTGTGGCTGTATATGGTGCAGGATGTTTATTTTAGATAAGCTCCTGGGTTCTCTAAAGCTTCCTGCCCCTCCTGGCGACTCAATTATATGGAACAGAGGCGGTAGAGCTGGTTATCTATTTAGGCGCTTGTTCTCCTAGTTCGGGTTTATCGGCCCACCGTCCGTGGCCCTTGCTAATTAAAACTAATAATCTACCGCTTATTGGATGTGATTGTTCGGCTGGAAATTTTGCACAGAAATTGTGTTTAATATTCGTTCGCACAAAATAGGCAACAAATGAAACTCCCAACGATAATGGAACAGTGAAAATGGGTTTTTCATTTCAAAGCAAATATCTATTAAAAATTAAACTAATTGTTTTTGTTATTGACTGACAGAGATACAATAACCGATAAAAACACTGCGATTCAATGATTCAATTAACAAGAATTGTTTAATTTATTAGTACTATGTTTACACAGGAAAAAATATAGAGTAAAAATCAACTCTAAAACAACTCTAAATATGATTCAGATCGGTTCAATATATTTAGAGTTATTTTTTTGCACTATATAATGTAGGTGAATAGATTAAAATTTTACACTAAATACTAAGAAGGTGGTGTTTATTAAATAGTGTAAAATCGTTACACTATAACAGTGTATTATATGTAATCTAACTAGATGTTGTCGTGACTCTAATTAGATACATTTCTAACCTAATCAGTGTAAAATTAGCACTGTAAATTATTAAAGATTCGTTCTAATTTTACTCTATTAAGTGACAAAATATCACTAAATAGTGTNTTAAACGAAACTGCTTCTAATGAGTCTTCTATAACTTTCCTGTATGTATAGTTGCACATACTTACCAATAAGTGTTGCAATTTCGGTACAATTAGTACTTGAAAGTAGCAATTCAGTACAAAATTCTTAATCGGTACAATTGTACTGAAATCAGTACATTGTTAGGGAATGCAGTTAATTACTGCTTCTTACTGCTTGTTCTTAATTAAAAGTAATGAAGTAATACGTTTTACAAGTTTTATTTTAACTTATTACTAAAAAAAAGATCTCCAACATTTCCTCTGTGAATTCAGTACGAAGTACCTGAAGGAAAAGTACACGTCTACTGTAAAATTTAATGTTTTATATATTACATAACTTCATTAACATGAGTAAAAAAGAACTCTGCTTTAAAGAACTGTAAAAACTACTCTATTAAGTGAATAATATATGAACTCTATATTAATATTAAATATAATGTACATTAGAGTTGTTTTTACCATGTGGTATTACAATTTTTACTCTAATTCTTTTTACCAACTACTCTAACATTTTTACACGACACGATTTTTTCCTGTGTAGCTCTTCATTAGCTTGAAATATTTATAAAATAATTAAATATTTCAAGCCGCAGAATAAGAAATCAGACCATAAAATATTTCCTGCGACATCCGAGAATTCAAATTGTTAGAAACTCCTTATTTTGTTCAAAAAACAATGAAAACGATTTTTACGTTTATTTTTACATGACACGATTTTTTCCTGTGTATTAGTAGTCTAAAGATGTAGTCTTAAATTATTATTCAGCGCTGACGTCACGAACGGGCCTTAGCTATGCATCTGTTCCCGGGATTTAGTTCCCGGAACGGACACTCCCTTTCCCGTATTAATCTGTTATATGGAGGTTATACTATATCATGTTCACTCTGTGTTTGCTGCTTGGTTTTAATTGGTGAGACTAGTTGTTTTGAGGTATATTGGTTACCGAAGTGTGAGTCTATGTTGGAGCTTCGCGTTGCCGTAATTAGTGAATGTTTGTTTGTTTTGGTTGGTATTGAGATTATCGTAGCGTTTTCGTTTCTCTGTGAGAAACAGGGTTAATGTACTATCGCACTCTGGGTGGTATATTGTCTCCTTCGATCTACTCCTAACTAATATTATATTATCCTTT